TTTAGATGCCATCATAAACGAAGGTAGAATTAATGAATAATTCATACCGAAAATTGTAAACAAAAGCGGAGTGGGGGAGTGGCTGGGCCAAACGCAGATTCATACAAGTTTTCTCTGATGGCTGAGCAGAGAAAACGTAATGTTGTCCCTCCACCCGGCTACCACACAGGTCCACAACTATTATTACCAGAGCACACACAAAATATGCAATAAATTACAGACAAGTTTACACTAACTTATATTAAGTTAGCAATATAAATAGGCATTTAAAAACACAACAAAAGGTAAGATGCACACAGAGTACTCTTATTACAGTGGACCCCCGCATAACGGACGCCTTGCATAACGGACAATCTGCATAGCGGACGCTTTGATCGCTAAAATTTTGCCCCGCATACCGCCCAAAAACCCGCTCAGCGGCCTTCGTCCGAGACGCGTCCAATGTGCGGCCTGAGCCAGCCTCATATGTTCCGCCGGTGGCATTGTTTACCAGCCAGCCTCCGCGGTAACATTCAAGCATACAATCGGAATATTTCGTATTATTACAGTGTTTTCGGTGCTGTTTCTGGAAAATAAATGACCATGGGCCCCAAGAAAGCTTCTAGTTCCAACCCTACAGCAATAAGGGTTAGAATTCCTATAGAAATGAAGAAAGAGATCATTGATAAGTATGAAAGTGGAGTGCGTATCACCGACCTGGTCAGGTTGTACAAGAAACCCAAATCAACCATCTCTTCTATTGTGGCCAAGAAAACGGCAATCAAGGAAGCTGTTCTTGCCAAAGGTTTAACTGTGTTTTCGAAACAAAGATCGCAAGTGATGGAAGATGTTGAGAGACTCTTATTGGTGTGGATAAATGAAAAACAGCTAGCAGGAGATAGCGTCTCTCAAGCGATCATATGTGAAAAGGCTAGGAAGTTGCATGAGGATTTAATTAAAAAAAGGCCTGCAACTAGTGATGATGTGAGTGAATTTAAGGCCAGCAAAGGTTGGTTTGAGAGATTTAAGAAGCGTAGTGGCATACATAGTGTGATACGGCATGGTGAGGCTGCCAGTTCGGACCACAAAGCGGCTGAAAAATATGTGCAGGAATTCAAGGAGTACATAGAAACTGAAGGACTGAAACCTGAACAAGTGTTTAATTGTGATGAAACAGGCCTGTTCTGGAAGAAAATGCCAAGCAGGACCTACATTACTCAGGAGGAAAAGGCACTCCCAGGACATAAGCCTATGAAAGACAGGCTTACTTTGTTGATGTGTGCCAATGCTAGTGGTGATTGCAAAGTTAAGCCTTTATTAGTGTATCACTCTGAAACTCCCAGAGCTTTCAGGCAAAAGAATGTCCTCAAGGATAATTTGTGTGTGCTGTGGAGATCAAACAGTAAGGCATGGGTCACTAGGGACTTTTTCTATAACTGGTTACACCATGCATTTGCCCCCAATGTCAAAGATTACCTAACTGAAAAGAAATTAGAACTTAAGTGCCTCCTGGTGTTAGACAATGCCCCTGGTCATCCTACAGACTGGCAGAGCGACTTTATGGGGACATGAGCTTCATTAAGGTGAAGTTTTTGCCTCCTAATACCACTCCTCTCCTGCAGCCCATGGACCAGCAGGTCATTTCCAACTTCAAGAAACTGTACACAAAAGCTCTGTTTCAAAAGTGCTTTAAAGTGACCACAGACACTCGATTGACTCTAAAAGAGTTTTGGAAGGATCACTTTAATATCCTCAATTGTGTAAACCTTATAGGTAAGGCTTGGGAGGGAGTGACTAAGAGAACCTTGAACTCTGCTTGGAAGAAACTGTGGCCAGAATGTGTAGACAAAAGGGATTTTGAAGGGTTTGAGGCTAACCCTGAGAGGAGTATACCAGTTGAGGAATCAATTGTGGCATTGGGGAAGTCCTTGGGGTTGGAGGTTAGTGGGGATGATGTGGAAGAGTTGGTGGAGGAGGACAATGAAGAACTAACCACTGATGAGCTGATAGATCAACTTCAAGAGCAAGAGGCCAGACCTGGGGAAACTGGTTCAAAGGAGGGAGAGAGAAATTGAAGGAATTGCCTACTTCAAAGATTAAGGAAATGTGTGCAAAATGGCTTGAAGTGCAAACCTTTTTTGATGAAAATCACCCTCACACAGCTATTGCAAGCCGTGCTGGTGACTGTTACAATGACAATGTTGTGAACCACTTTAGACAAATCATAAAGGAACGAGAGGTACAGGCCACTATGGACAGATATGTTGTGCGAAAGAAGTCCAGTGACTCTGAAGCTGGTCCTAGTGGCATTAAAAGAAGAAGGGAAGTAACCCCAGAAAAGGACTTGCCTCCTCAAGTCTTAATGGAAGGGGATTCCCCTTCTAAACACTAACACTCTCTCTCCCCTCCTCCCATCCCATCAATCATCACCAGATCTTCAATAAAAGTAAGTGTCATGTAATTGTGCATGCCTTTTTCAGTTTGTGTGTACTAAAATTAACATTTTTTTGTGGTAAAAAATTTTTTTTCATACTTTTGGGTGTCTTGCACGGATTAATTTTATTTCCATTATTTCTTATGGGGAAAATTCATTCACATACCGAACATTTCGCATAACAGCCAGCCCTCTTGCACGGATTAAGGTCGCTATGCGGGGGTCCACTGTACTTACCTTAAAATATTAATATTAATATGTGAGAGGTGAGTGGCAGTGTGTTTATTGAATAAAATCAGAATGGCACACCATCATCCTCTAACTTGGCACTTAAAATAAGAGGCTTACGACTACTCTTTTTATCACAGCTAACCTTAGACGCCATCGTCAATGAGAGCCAACTAGTTAACAAAAGAGTAAACGAGAGAGAGAACGAGATAGAGTTGAGACAATGTAAGAACACAAACTGAACAGGTAGTGGACGATCACTTGGTCAGGCGAAATAAATGCGTATTAATATGTCTACTTTTATTTCATTCACGTACGTTTGTAAGAGTTTGTAAAACATTTACCTCAATATTTTTTTATTATAATAATTACCGTGCAACACAAATACTCTTACATTGTGTACAAGTTAGTTCAGAATAAACAAACAGCAACACACCATTTTTAGAGTGAATGAAGATAATAATATTAATAATATTATTAATAATAATAATAATATATTATAAAGCACTAAACCCACAAGGGTCGTGAATTGCTATATATAGAGTAAAGGTATACGAAAAGAATATTTTTCTACAGTTACCCCCCAGTGTTTGACTAGAGAAAACGTAATTCTTCTGACACTACCTACACAGCTGCTTTGTAAACAAATCTCATATTTACATCAATTTTTATTCTGTGAGTGTATATATCATGTTTATATGCTATGTAATGGGTTTCATATATAATTTTGAGGAAAATATCATAGATGGATTAATGAAAATGCCTATATTGATGTAAAATAAGACATTTAGTGTGCCCAAGAGTTATTATTACGTAGTATTGGGGCATCATGAGTAGAGACTCTTAGCGATTTTAATGTGTACCTGCACACCAGCACAGTGTGTAAGTATATTTAGGTACAGGTACACATAAGTATAATTATCAGAGTATGTATAAAATGTGCAGAAACTTTAAAACTTGAAATTTTGGAAAGTTTCCTGACATAATAGATGTCACGGAAAATGTAAACAAACCGGGTCGGGGGTGCCGTATTTGAAAGACCGCTTGCCGTATGGCAAATTTTGGTCGTAATTTGACATCGCTGTATTAGCGGAACGCCGTAAGGCGAAACGCAGTGAAGCGGGGCCTTTCTCATTGATTTCAGTATATAAATCTTTATTTAATTTGGAAAAAAATGTTTTATTTTAATATTTTGGGGCGTCTGGAACAGATTAATTTTATTTCCATTATTTCTTATGGGGAAAGTGGTTTCGAGTTTCGTGAATTTCGACTTTTGGCAGGCTCTCTGGAACGGATTAACCACGAAACTCGGGGGTCCACTGTATATTGTTTATTATGTCATATTAGATGAAGTGAGATAGATAAATAAGCCAAAGAGTTGATATTAGCGAAATTATTGAAGTACAGAATTCCACTGGAACAGATTAATTGCATTTCAATTAACCCTTAAACGGTCCAAACAGATAGACATTCAAATTCGTAGTGCTACAAAAGTAGATCTACTTTTTTTTACATATTTTCAAATATAACAAAAAAAAATGTAAATAAAAGTTTTTTTACACGTTTTCAAATGTAAAACAAAAAAGATCTACATTGTTTTACATACTTTCGGATGTTGAAAAAACGTATATACGTTTGGACCATTTAAGGGTTAATTTAAATGAGGAAAGTTGACTCTGCAACTGATTAAACTCGCAAGTAGAGGTTCCACTGTATTGAAGTATCTTGTCGTACCTCCTAAGAGCCGGGAATGGATTAACCCTTAAATGGTCCAAATGTATATATACGTTCTCTCGCGTAGTGCCCCAAATGTATATATGCATTTCATTTGTCATTTGGTGAACATTGGTACAATAGGCCTGAATTGCTTAGACATGAGAGAATGGGTGTGCACACTCAGTGTGCACCATATGAAAAAAATTGGGGATGCCTGGGTACCACATGCTCTTTTTTTCCTATAAAAAACCGATTGTTTTTTTTTTTTTTTCTCTCAAAATATTCGGGGCACTGCACAGGTGAATGTATGTATACGTTGGACCGTTTAAGGGTTAATTGCATTTCAATTAGTTTAAGTGAGGAAAATTGACTGCAAATGAGCCAATCCAGCTGCGAGCAAGGTCACAGAATGGATTAAACTTGTAAGTAGAGGTTCCACTGTATTTGTTGACACAGTTCAGGATCAGGGGTCTCGACAGTGAAAGGGTTAAATGACTTTTCCAGAATAACTGAATTGTTAAAGGTATTTGTAATATGTAATTATTCAGTTTAGGCTATATTTGAAATGAACAGGTGAAAAGGCTGGTAACTAATGTCTACATTTACTACCTGTAGTATTTAAAGTACAAATAATTTTTTTCAGCATCTGGCGGTATCAAGAAGAGCGGAAAAAAGTAACCACAGCCAGTTAATACTGGTTTACGCACTCAGCCTCACCATTATTTCATTTTAACATTTCATGTGGTATTTGTTTCATAAAATAAAAATGATAAAATAGTATGCCTGTAACTTACCCTAATGTTCTGTAGTGTATGGGAACACATTTTATTTTATTGGATGCATATTAAGTGTGTATATGGGGTCACTGCTGGTGTTGAATATATTAATAATTGAAAATATTTTTATATATGCTGTTGTATTTGTTTGGACGTGTGCATATTTTTAAGGGATTAAGCAAAGATGCTAAAATGGAGAGGAGATGTATCTGGAAAGGCTATTGCAAGTCTGTATCATGTACTAGTTATGGAATAGTAAAATTGTTGAATATTGAAGAAAGACATCTGGGAAGGTTTGTGGAAGCTTTTCACCGGCCAGTGGCTTCTTCAGTCTAATACAGAGAATGGTAGAAAATGAGTTTGGGGTAATCAGTCCTTCAGCCAGGAGTCAGTGTTCAGTCCATCAATCTTGAGATGTATAGCATATGTGCAGAGAAGTGGCTTACTGCAGTCAGGCGAGTTGAAGCAGTAGGAGGTAGTAACCACTGGAAAAATCCTCTAGTGTAGGTAAGTCATGCCTAAAGGTTAGGCATGCATAGAATTCCCTGCATCATTCTTCAACTTGTTCAACATATCTGTTAGACACAGCAACATTGTTTAATTATTCGAAGAAGACCCTTTAGAGGCTCTTTTGCATGGTGAAAGGGCTCTTGATCTTAGGAATCATACCTCGTGTCTCCTTCCTTGGATTGAATCTAGCCCCCCTCACCTCTCCCCTTCCTTCCATTTGGCCTTAGTTGGAGCTATATTTTCCTTGCGAATTTCTGCTCCAAGACAGGGGAGGGGGATTGCTATCCATCATACTCCATCAAGGACCTCACGGGTGGTGCTGTTTACCGTGGTAGTTGGATTATCTGGAGACATAATGGGCCACTCTTCAGAGCCATAGTGAGAGACTCCTTGGATGACAGGAATATTCCTGGACGTGGCAACCCGAAGAGGTAAGACTGGCATTTCCAGTCTAGTTTTGTGTGTAAATTTGCTTGTGTCACTCCCTTTGTCAAGTTCACTAATCTGAATTATTAACTTGTAAATGATTAACCGAGACCTCGTTCACTGAGCCTGGCTTGGTTGATTCTGGTGCCACCTTGATATACTGGGGTTCCTGGTTTACCAGGTAGGGTGTGGGCTGGTTTCTAAGCAACATCAGTACTACTGGCTGCAGAAGGAAATATACAGCATTTTTCTCCTCAGAGCTGCCCCTCTTCCCTTACCTTTTAATAAGGAAAAATAAACTGATAGTCATTCATGCTTTGGCTCCCTGGCCCATTACCCCTTCAGCACCCTTATCTCACCCTGGCATGCCCACAGACCTTTCTTCGAACTTGGTACCACTTTTGGGCAAAACCTCGTTGCCTGACTTGCCAGCGTTTTGGCTGACTCTCGATACCTTTAACTTTCATTGTGCTATCTGTTCAAGGCTCCTCTCGTGACAGCATGTAGATTTTCGGATCACTAGCGTGTCACAGGACCAGTTGGTTTGAAGTCATTGTCCAAAACATATCCTTCATGCCCTCAAGAGTGGGATTTGAATGGTCAGTGAAGGATGCTGAGCAAGCTGACAATCTTTCCATTCTCTGGTCTATTGATGACCTCTGTAACATTACACAGTCCATTCTCAAGTCTAGCTGCAATACTGTCATCCTGCATACTATAGTAGGCAACAGGAATTTACACAATGTGGCCTGGACATCCAGGGCAGCTTTATCTCCAGAATCTGGAAACTTAATCTGCTTAGCCCGAGGTCTGAGATTCTAGCAACATTGCCAAACTCTGCCAAGATTTTCCAGCTTCAATTTATATAGGACAACACCTAGAAATGCAGGATTTTCTCCCGACACATCAACCATGCAGATATGGCCAGGTAGCAAAAGAGCCAGCAGAAATATTGTAGATCACCTGCAGAATGTAAAATCTATGATGCAGCAAATCATAATACGTCCTGTAGCCAATCCCAACTTGTAACGGTGGAGAAGCTTGCCCAGCAGTTGCCCAGTTTTGTTAAGAGCTAAATCTGTTGTCTTGAGTAAAAGGATGGTCTCTCACTATTTAGGTGCAAGAATTTTTATCAATTTGACATTTATTAAAAAAAATCCTCAAGTTGGTATAAAATGTCTATTTTAGAATGAAATTGATCACTGCAGATTATGCACCTCAACACTGACCTGCAGGATTAGTGAAGTACACACCCATACATTTCTCATTTTACATATCCACAATCTCGTTTATTCATCCCCTCAAGGAAGGCACCTTGATGCCAATGAAATGAACCTGTCATGTTCCTTGGATCAAACCTGATTGCCTTCCAACACCCATGCACCTGTGTGACCATTATGGATTCAGCATTTCTAAATAAGAACACCCTTTGTACTACCTACATGATTTTAGTCTCTCATCAATAACCGAAACATACCATGTCCAGAACTAGATACTAGAATCAGTGACATTCAAATAGCATGGAAAGAAAGAGGGAAAATTCCTAAGTCTAATAGACAACAAACTGAAATTTTAATCCTTGGAGGGTCGAGAGCCTTGATCCTAAACTCGTTCTCAGGGTTGAGAAATATTTGAAAAAATAAATCTGAAGAATAATTTTCTAAGTGTTAGACCCCCCAAAAAAAAAATTAAGATCAATGCTTAGAGGCGCGAGTTGACAGTAAACCGCTTACAGCAACCTCGCTATTCAATGGTTTTATACAATGCAATAACCTCAAATATTTATTACGACCCAGGTAATCAAGGCCTGCTATCCTGGGTGTAAAGGTGGGCTTGGAGTAAAATACACAGCAGAAAACTTTGAATTATATTATCCTTCAGGTATAACAAGTATGTACACTATATACACTATGTACAGCAAATAGGTATTAGTGCACACCAGAGTAGTCAGGGCAGAGCAGCAGCCAAGAGACAAGATAGACAACTGTGTTTCCAAAAAGCAGAAGAATGGAAATGACAGGTGTGAAAATGTGAATGGTAGCCATGTCACCTTCACAATTGCCAGATCCACATTATGATTGGCTGAACCTAGGTACTGATCTGACAATGGGGCCCTGATCGTCAGACCCTCAGTGACCTGGTTTGCTGGTTGGTGAGGCAGCCTAAGTGTGTTAACATGCTCCAAATAAAGGCTTTTAAAATACTCTTTGAAATCCCAACCCCCCACTCCAAAAATGGTTCCAGGACTAGCCTTCCACCCCCAGTGGGAAAAAAGTGCTGTCAGGCCAGTTAATGGAACCCCCTTTTCCCCCCCCAACCATCCAACTCTTTTAAGAGCTCAGTTTTTCACGAGAAAATAAACCAAACTCTAAACTTAGATAGCCCCAAGCAGACAGTGGGGCTAACATAGATACACAAAAAACCCCCAAAAACCAAAAGGTCCAAATCCCTGTGGGGGGGGGTAGCAGAATTTTCCCCTCTTTAAAAAAAAAAAAATTTAAAATTTTCATTATATAAAAAGGGGGAAAAAAAAATTTTTGTACCCAAATATTAACACCTAACCACCAAGAATTAGATGCAGATAACGCATCAGCCAGCGTATTTTTGCTGGCCTATGAAAAAATTTGTTTGTTGAAAGGGTTTTGTAGCTGGAACCCCAACTCATGAGTCTTGTTTGGGGTTTTTTTTCATATGTTGAATGTAGAGCAGGAGATTGGGGTCTTTAAAGATTTGGGGACCACCGGGGAGACCCGGGCCACAAAATTTTCAGAATTCCCCAAGGCCGTATCAGAGCGGGGGTTTTCTTTTCAATTTTTGGAGTGGGCCCCTGGTGCGGTTTGGATATTTTGGGGGCAGAAAAAAAACCCACGGGCTGAAAACCCTTGTCCTCAGTTTTGGCAAGAAGAACAAACCCCCAACCCAAAAGACTCCCAACATCAACCTGAAACCGTAAAAGGGTTTTGGGGAAAAATCAGGAGCCCGGAAAGGGGTGCATACAAATTGTGATTTATTTTTTCTTGAACGAGTCTTGACACTGGGGGTCCAAAAAAGGGGGTTTTTGGGTGATTTTGAGGGGGGGTTTAGGGGGGCTACAATACCAAAAATTTTTTACAGAACCCTCTATAAATTTTCTACCATACCTGGGAAACGGAGGGTTTTTCCTATCCTGGGGTACGGGAAAATTTTTTTAATAGAAAATATTTTAGAAAATTTTAGGGGCCATTTTGCCACTATTTTCATGGTCCAACAAATTAGCATTAGCCGGGCCAAAGGAAGCCCCTTTGGAATAATTTAACATTAAGTGGAAACAAAAAGGGTTTTTAAAAAAGAGAGCCTTAAGCCTAAACATATGTTGGTCCCAATATCCGCCCCACAACAATGTCATCTAGGTAAGGGGCTGTGTTTTAAAGGGTCCTTTAAAACCCTAACATGGGGGGTTTTTGGGGAATGATGCCAAAATTTTTTTCCCATTCCAAAGGGGGAATAATTGTATTTTAAAAAGACCCGGGAAATTACGAAGAGAGATTTCATTCACCCTCGTCTGTAAAAAGGTACCTGATAGAAAACCTTTTTAAAAATCAAAACTTTGACAAAAAAGAGCCTTACCCACAAAGCGTTTGTCACCCAAATTTGTACAGTGGGAAAAGCATCTCAATTGTGCCCCCTCGTTCACCTTTTTGGATTCTGAAACCCTTTAAAAAACCCTCCATCGCTTTCTTTACAAGGATCCCAATGGTAAAAGCCCATGGCCCTAGATTTCCCTAACCATGCTCTAACAGAAATTCTACCACCTCTTATTTTACCCCTCTTTTTTTTCAGGATTACTCTGTAGGGGGGGGTTTTTTAATAGTTTAATTTTTCCAACATCTACGTCGGGATACCCCAGGAAACATTTTTCAGAAAAATTCCGAAAAAAATTCAGGGTAAGATTGTAGGAGCACATTTTAAACTTGTTATTTTGATTCTTACCCTGTATAGCCCCTTGTGGCTTACGCTTCTTTTTAAATATAATAAAACTTGATTTTTAGATGCCCCCATCAAAAAGGGCTGGGGGTCCTTGAGAGA